ATACTATATAAACAATCACATTCTTATACGTTTCTATTACCATATCCATTTTATAGGCTATGGAACACACATTGTGAACTACTTTAAGTTCATGTAATTTTTACTGGCAGGGTTCACGAATATTATTAAAGTGGAGCAGCTTTGACATAAGGCAGCTTCATCAAAGTGTGCAATAAATATGATGTGCACAAATTCCAAAACATCTTAATAAATCACTACTTTCACAATATTTTTTCCCAAATTTTTATGGAATATTAATGATGCACACTTCTGACAAGTAGTTTCCATGTGAATGGGTTGCGACAGTCTGAAATTAAACCAGCTTCCCAGCAGATTCAAATGTATTTTTTTAGTGTTGTAGAAAAGAAAGATTCATTGCTATTCACCATGCAGTTTAGTACACAGTGGCCCATCCTGCAGAAGTTCTGGCATCATGTGTTAAATACCGCTTGCGCGTTTAATGACCGCATATGTACATCCGCCCACCCACACAAGGATGTCAGTTGAGTAGGTGGTCCTTCAATGTGGCCCAGGACACATTCACGTTCACGTTATGAGAATGAGGCCATATGTGTCCCAGACCAGCTCCGAATGTGGACTGAGCGATTGAATTTCAATGCGTCCTCAGTGCATATTGGGTGCGTTTGCACCTCTAATTGACATTGTCCACTTGTAATTGGATCACACAGGACGCATGTTAATACCAGGTGTGAACAGGTCCTAAGACAATAGACCATGTTTGATCACAGCCAAGCAGGAGCAACAAGATAAAAGGACAGGATCCTGAAGATGGTGATGGAAGACTTGGTTCCTTGATCATTCTACCTTGTAGCAGCCTGACCGCTCAGTCTTTCTTTATTAGTTGTTTTGCATTGGATAGCGTTGTGCCTTTTGGTCTCAATGGGGCAAGAGGGCAGGGTGCTTTTCTAATTACCATTACTATTACAGAAGGTCACCCAAGCTAGAATTTCTGTGCTACAAAGTAAATGAACAACCAGTAATATAACACAGTAACATACCAAAATCCTAAAATTCCTCCTTTGATAATTTATGATTGATAAATTTTTTAAAGTTCAAAAAAGTACATAATACATGAAAGAAAAGATTAAATGCAAACGTTATGGAACTACTAATTGACTATATGAATTATGAAATGTGGACATTGGCTTTGCGCAGATCAATTGTTCCTAGGAATGACATTGGCCTGCCCATGATCACTTCATAGAGGCTCTGTCCGGTTTCTTTGTTGTGTTGCTTGGATGCTAACGAGCACATCAGACTTCTGATGTGAAGTGTGTCTTGGTGTTCTGGCAATCCCCATCACAGTATGATCTCAGTATTTTAGCCGTGTGGATTGGCGTGGCATGTCTTGTTGGGAATGCTTCCACCCATCTAGAGACTTTGTCCACTATAAGAAGTACATCCTGGAACCTTCTACATTTAGGCAGTGTTATATAATCCATTCGCAGATGTCAAAATGGATCAGGTGGGTCTGGTGTTCCTGCTGCCAGGGTCCTAATTCTGGCTTCAGGATTGTTCCTTTTCACACGTTACAATGTTGTGAATTGTGTGTTGTGCTTCGGGTTCCATCAGACTAGAGCTGGGCGGTTTTGACCAAAAATTTATATCGCGGTATTTTTCAAAGTTATATCAGTCTTGCGGTATACAACGTTTTTTTTTTTTTTTTTAAGTATGACTGGCCGTTTACTAGGGGTGCAACGGTACTGGTATCCCACGGTACGGTCCGTACCTCGGGTTTTTGGGCCACAGTTTCGGTTCGATATTGGTACATGTCTTGTGCGTAAAGAGAACAATGTTCTTTCTCCCAAAATAATATCTTTATTTTGCTTGTCAGCAAAAACTGCATTTCACAGTGAACAAATTCCAGTATCATTGCTGTACTGAATAATATCACACCTTTCTTTCAAGTTAAGTTACTAAACACAACACTTTCAAACTTGCCTCTTATTCATGTATAAAATATGTATAAAATTAAAACATACAAAATGTAAACCTTAACTCCAACACTGCAGTTTTCTGGCTGTAGTATCTTTCAGTGTTTGTAATATATTTCAGGGTTTGTGTGTGTGCACTTCATGTTCAATAGTCTGTCTTGCTTAAAGTCACTGGTGCTGAATGGACACAGTGCAATTATTAATTAATATGTATAAAAACACAATATTAGTTACACGGTGTATGTTGTCCCCCATAGTTCCATGCTTAAAATACACTTTACAGGACTTGTCTATATTTAGGTTTATCCATGCTGTCACATTGCAGCAAATAGCAACACTATCACAAAGGAACACAAAACAATTTAGCAAAAATATATATTTTGCCACCCTAACCTTATAGGGGATCTGTAGTGGTTACCATGATTACCATGTAATTGACATTTGTATATTTATTACATGAGTTTAAGGTAATAGATTGGACAGCGTCGCTATTTACAAAATTTTTGACTCTTTCAAAATACAAATTCAAACGCTTTTCAAATTACAGTACTGTACAAATTACCGTAAATTACTGAACTATGTGTAATTCAAATATGCTGTAATACTGTAGCATCAGTGGCATCAGCGTGTCCCGGCATGCCTCGCGAGCGCGTGTATATAGCCCTGTGTATATTTTGTGTATTTAGCCCCTGTTTGTATTTTTTAGTGTAGGTACTTGTGCTGTGTATCAAGTTGTCACGTGTGCTTTTAACCGTGGTGGTACTCAGTTCTTGCCTGATCCTCACGTGTCTTAACTATTGTGTAATTATCTGCCATGTGTGGCTAACGGTCTTTAGTGTAACTTTCCTGTGTTTCCCTGTCACTCGAGGCTTTCATGTTATTGTTGCATGTTGTGGGGTCCCTTTAAGAAGTAACATAAAGAACAACTTCGTGTCAGTCCACCTCTCGTCGTTTTCTTTCGCCACTGCTGTGATTCCTCCATCTGCTCGGGGCTTCAATACAGTACAATATTGTACATAAATATACTTTATTGTAGTTTCACTGTTGCGTCTCAGTGGATAGTTTTTGGGCGGTTCTGTAACTGAAAGAAAATTACTCTTTTTCCTGTCAAGTTTTCTGTGCATGCAGCATTAGCCTCAGGTAGCTTGCCAGAAGCAGAAGGCAAAGTAAGCTTATCAAAGTAAAGTTAATAAAAAAAATTTAAAAAAAAGATTAGCAATGTTTTAATCTTTTCCATATATTGTCATGTATAAAAAGACCCAAAATGAACCCTGCAAGTGCACTACTTGATTTCTAGAAACAAATTATTTAAACAGTATTTGTATAGGAATGATTCTGTCCCAAACTTTTTGATCCATATAAGCGGTTGATCACTATAACTGTGATCATTACAAGCAGGTTCCACTGTAATGAAGTCCAATAAAAACTGAAAATGATAAAATATGAAATGATGATGTTTATTTCATCATCCAATGTGTGTCATCATATCACACAGCTCTACTCCTGAGACTTCTGCATGCATTAGGTAATTTTGGCCTAGTTTATTTTCACAGGTTTTAATCCATTAAGAAATGCCCTAACAGCATCCCATCCTGCTTCAACATCATCATGAGGCTCTCCCATCTTGTTTCTACACTGCCCTTTGGTCGTATCCCTCAAATGTACATTTAAAATAACTGTAGCATCCAGTGGGTGAAGTGTATCATATTCTTCATCTCTCACATCTAAGAAGATTTCTACTATTTAATTATTTTTGGCTCAATTCAAATAACTTGTTCCTTGTCACTGGACTAGGTTCTATATACATTTTGAATACTGAAGTGGCCCAGTTGCAAATGCGCTTCATCCAACATTTCCAATCGGCTTTCTGTGATCGATACTGGGGTGGGAATCGGACAGTGACCACCCAAATCAATATGTTGATATGTTTGCTGATATGTACCGCAATTTTTAAACTGATTTTGCTGAAGAGCATTTCAGGTCTACATTTAACGTAAAAACAAGGGCTACGTGTACATGAATTCGTGTGCCTTTCGGTTACAGCGTTTTCAGTTTGGAACGTACAATGTAACAAATACATTTCTTGACACGGGTGAAACCTACATTCACAAGTACATGTTCAACAAGGAAAGCACGCTAATTGTGGTTTTGAGTTGGTTACAGCTAGTGCTAGAGAGCTCAAAGACCCTCCCACACCACTTAAATCAGTAGTTTGGGAACATTTTGGCTTCCCAGTGAATTACGGCAACAGCAGAGAGAGTAGTTAAGACTGTCTGTGAACTCTGTTATACCCAGCTTGTATATTTTCTGGAGACACATCCAGCATGCTAATTCAATTTAGACTACATCATCGGAGTGTGCTTTTGCCAGGAAATTCAGACTATACTTAAAAATAAAAAAACGATTTTAGCCCCACAGATTAGAGGCAAATTGGCTCTCGATCACTATTGGTTAAAAAATGTGACCGGACAGAGTTGCCAATGCATTGAAGATGCCCATTAGATATCTAAGGCAACTGGCATTGAGTGCAGCAATGAAAAGTGTAAGACAGAGTGTGAGATGAAACCTGAGTTTTAAAAAGGTGTAAATAGTTCAATTTGTTTAGAAACTTAAGTGTATAGTTATTCAATGAAATTTTACATTTCACGCACTTGTGGTTAGTTGGTGCAGGACAAGTTTCTGCACACACTTACTGATTCATGATGGCACTGTGCCAGACTCATTCATGTGAGTCCCTTAAAATCAGCTGTGTGCAACTGGGTAAATTTGCAGTACCAAATGTGAACAGTATAATTTCAGTAATGGTTTTAAATGGTGATATTAAGATACTCATCTTGAAGAATCGCAGCTCGTAAGAGTCAATTCCCCCTCCCACCTACCCCTAGTAGTTACCTTTTAGTGCTAGTTTGATGGACATGCTAAAAGGATCGATTTGTATGTAAGTTTTCTTCCTGAAGCCTCTGGAGTTCTTGATTACTGTTGAGACTGCATTAGTGGAATGCACTGAATTGCCAGCAAAGTGTTCACAGTTATCTTGTTTCCCAGGATTTTGTTTTCTATGCGCCGCGGTTGCGAATCAATAAACGCATCCTGGCACTGTGCATGGGAAACCATGAACTCTACATGCGGAGGAGGAAACCAGACACCATCGAGGTCCAGCAGATGAAGGCCCAGGCTCGGGAAGAGAGGCACCAGAAACAGCTGGAGAGGTATGGGTCACTGAAGCTTGTGTTATACAGCAGCCAGACTGCATCATGTGGGCCAGTTTGGGCCTTTGCTGAGTGCAGTACCAGCACAGCACTGTGTTACTTAGATTTGCCAGCAGAGGGTACTGTTGACCTGGTATTAATGCAACAAGACACCAGCGAAAATGGTGGAATCTCCCCGAGGACAATCTTGATAGGGATTGGTGACATTTTTTCACCTGTTCCTACTGGCTGGGGTGTTTCTATAAGCATGAAGGTAAGCATTCGAGGTATACAAGGCATATGGATGAGCAGGTCCTGGAGCTGCTATCCCTTTATCAAACGGATACCTTACATACGTAACTGGAAACACCACTGTATAGCTGCTATACTTCATTGAAATCCCACAGAATTTTGTGACTTGTTGCAAATGTCTATGGAATTATAATATCCAACCTAATCACACAGTTCAGATTTCATCAACATGTTCATGCATGTACATAAATATGAGAAATGGACTGATATCACCTAATAATTAGCGGTTAAAATCTGACAGGAGACGCTCAATAAATGCAAAAATTGATATACAGGCAGTTTTGCTATTACATGCGTTTCCAAAACAAGAACAATCCAAATTCCAGAACAATTTCATAATATGCAGTTAGTAAATAGGGGAAAGATGTGGTGTGACTCTCGCTGGCTGGTACAGATTCTCATCCCTTGCATCTAGGGCTGGGCAATATGGCAACGATATTGGTAATTGACGACATTGTCTGAATATGATCTTGTCATTTTCTACCACTTCCTTTCACTATTCAAGTGTTTTATCAAGTTATTAACCTCAATTGCAAAGGTAGTTGGAAGAAGCTAGTAGCGCTATTTCTATCCATCACAGACAATGTTATTGCTGCAGTGTCGCTGTAAACTGCTGAGTTTGATAATGTTCAAATTTGCTCATAGCATTTGATGAATGGTCCCAATCTGCTAATTCAGCAAAATTCTCATTCTGTCCTAGTATGATAAAAATATGAATATCTTAATATTGTTGAATAAATCAACTGGGTGACCTAACTGTTAGCAGCTAATTATGCTAGAGGCTACTGCCAACATTTCAGGCTAAGTTAGCTGAGATAAGGAGATTAAATGCGTGGCTAAAAGAGTGGTGTAGGAAAGAGGGGTTTAGGTTTATGGGGCACTGGAGGACCTTCTGGAACAGGTGGGACCAGTTCAAGCCGGATGGGTTGCATCTGAACCGGAGGGGAACCAGTGTGTACTGGGAAGGCGTATTTGTAGAGTAGTTGAGGAATGTTTAAACTAGGGACTGGGGGGGCAGGGAGGTTAGTTAAGTATGTAACTGGGGGGAAACGGAAAGCCCCAAAAAATCATATTATAAGTAGGCACTGTAATAGTCCTACCCTTTGTTGTCTGTATTTAAACGCCAGGAGTATTA